ATCCATAATTGTGTTTACACAAGTTATTATGTTCTTATTTGTTATGAGATAGAGCTTTGCCAAATGCAGCTGTGTGCTGGACAACCAAGAGTGCTAATGCAAAGAGACAATATCTTCTCTTGCATTGCTACTCCGTATGCCAGTGGAATTGACAGGTTTTCTCTGGGAAGAGGGAAAAGATCATGGCAGAGGGAAGTTGCAATTTTCATTTAATTCTTCAAGGTATGATCTCTGGTTTTGGGAAAAAGAAGGGGAAATCATTCTGTCAATATATATCCTTGAGAAATATTAAATCAATCAAGGCTTGGTGGGTATTACTGTAAGAAAAACTTGATATGGGTGCAAAAGTCTGCTAATGTACAAAATTTTACAGATTATGTATTGTAATACATGGCATTAAGTTACTGCTTTGGATGCTTACATTTCCAAGCTACTTTGCATTTCGGGTCCAGCTTCTTGTCATTGAAGCTAGGATCCAGCCTCTGATGACCCAAATAGTTCAGTTCTTGCCACCTGCACTGAATCTGAGGTGGAGTGCCTGGCTCTGGCTTTATTTTGGCTTAGGCCCCCTGACATAAGAATTTGGAAACTGAACCATTAAGCAGATATTTCTCTTATTTTTTGTCTTAAATAAATATGTTGTTTTATTTTGTTCTTTGAAAATTTGAAGATCATCATTCCTAACCAGTTTTTCATTTTTTCTTAATTATTGAGCTGTTACAAAGTGTTAATGTGGTCAGTTAGCACAAACAGTTTTTAAAAATTCAGGAATGTAATGTACCGAATGGTTAAGAGCAGTTTTAATCTACTGTCTCATTGCTCAACTGCATAACACTGAACAAATTGCTTAGACTCTATGGCTCTTGTTTTCATCATCTGAAAATTGAATAATAAAATTCATTTTATGAGATTTTCTTAGAAATCTTATGTAATATTTGTACATAATATTCAGAAGAATGTCTTTTTAATCAATTATTTGTTGGTCTCAAATATTAGAGCAGAATGTAGGAGTGTTCCCTGAAATTAGATTCAGGGGTTCTTTGTTTTGTATTCACTAAGAGAGAGTAGTTGGCATGACTGGGGAAGGACCAGGCAACTTTTCAAAGCAAGGTATCATCACTGACCTTGTCTGTATGAGTATACCATTGGGAAGTCAGTGATGAAATTGGTCTACAGTATATGAAACTGCACAGAATATAAGCTAATTCCTTTTCTTTTCTGTCTTTTTTTTTTTTAATCAAGAAGAGAAATTTAGGCCCAGAGTGATGGCCTAGTGGCTAAAGTCCTCACCTTGAACACGATTGGATCCCATGTGGGTGCAGATTCTAATCCCAGAAGCCCCGCTTCCCATCCAGCTTGCTTCTTTCAGGGAGAGTAGTCGAGGATGGCCCAAGGCCTTGGTACCTTGGACTGAAGTGGGAGACCTGAAAGAAGGTCCAGGCTCCTGGCTGTGGATTGGATTGGCTCCAGTCAGCTCCTGATTTCAGCTCAGCTCAGCTCTGGTCTCTATTGCCACCTGGGGAGTGAACCTTCAGACAGAAGCTCTTCCTCTCTATCTCTCCTCCTCTCTGTATATTGTATAAGTCTTTACAATAAAAATTAGTAAATTTAAAAAAGCGCTTTTAATTAAAAAAAAAAAAAAACAGAATAGAAATTGAAGGACCAGCCTAGGACACAATATAGTCATCATCTGAGAAACCAGCAAACAACATGGGTGCTAAACTTCTGATACATGTCCATGCTAAAGCATATAGGAAAGCAGCAGAAAATAGCCTAAATCTTCGGACCCTTTAACTCACATTATAATCCCAGAAGAAGCGCCTGGCCTCAGCTTTGAATGAACCCAACTCTGGCCATTATGGCCATTTGAGATGTGAACCCCTGGGAGGAAAATTCTTTTTCCTCTCTCTCCGTCTCTGACTCTTTTTTTTTTTTTAAGCTCTAAACTCTGCCTTTCAGACAAATAAAATAAATAATAGAAAAAATAAATGTGTGGACTCAGAATTCTAGAAGCTGGAAGTCTAAGATCAAAAAACTGGATTCCGCCAAAGGCATTCATGCTACATCTGCTTCTGGTCAAATGGCAAGGAGGGGACAGAGAACAAGAGAAGACTGGATTCATCCTTTGACAATGTACTCACCTGCATGCTAACATACCAGTCCTGAGACAATGTCACTGATGCATTCTGTAGGATCAGGTCCTGATTACTCAGATAACACGTAGTAAACCCCATCTCTCCATACTGAGGTATTGGGATCACCTTTACAACAGATCAGTGTTTAAAATGCTGCATATCCTTATCCTAGTCCATCATCTTGCTTTGCCATGTTGGTGTTTTTAAACATTTGTTTATTTTTATTGGAAAGGCAGATATACAGAGAGAAGGAGAGACTGAGAAAAACATCTTCCATCCGCTGTTTCACTCCCCAAGTGGCCACAACAGCTAAAGTTGAATCAATCTGAAGCAAGGAGTCAGGAGCCTCTTCTGGGTATCCTATGCAAGTGCACTGGGCCTGATTTACCCTGTTTTTGTCTTTACAATAAAGGTGATTTGCTTGAAGAAAACATATTCAACATGATGACAAAAAGTATTTCTGGACAGGCTACATATGGAAGCCTGATCGTATATCATTTCTTTATTACAAACTAATATATATACAACATATAAAATATATATGTGTATGAATCTATATATATATGTGTATGAATCTATATGTATATGTGTATATATGTATATATGTGTATATATATATATATATATAGCAACTATACGCATATACTTTCTACATCATTACCATCTACTTACAGAGAATACAAAGGTTTGAAATAGCTATGTCAAGTCAGGAATTTGAAAATATTGATGTCAATTCTTTGTAACATTTTCCCTCTTCACTCAGTTGATATTTGTTTCTCAACTCAGAAAATATATTGAAACATGTACCAATAATATAAAATCAGAACTTTTCCTCTAATAACTTCTGCTCAGAATGCATTAAGTATGTAGTGTTTATTTGTTATCTTTTTCATATATTAAATTAATTTTATGCTATGAGGATCAACTCCTTCTAAATTTACCATCATTTAAGCAAATATAAAATTCTACTGAAACCCATCTGCTTACTATGTGGCAAGGAATGAGAAGATTTTCATCATTTTAACTTTAAAATTCTGAATATCATTTATTTTTCATAGTGCAGTTCTCATTTTTGAACGAATTTCAGCAAAGACAATTTATAATTTCCAGGCCCAAAATATATAATGAGCACAATTTTCTGAACTATGTTAAATAATTTTCTCTACTAGTCCGTCCTTTGGCTGGAAATTAATCGTTTTTATTGAGGGATCTTAGCCTGACTGGCTTACATTTCAAGTACCTTCCCTAGTCTGGTACTTCTAATTTCCTGTAAAGTAAAAAGTAAAATAAAACAATTTTAAAATGTTAGTATTAAGTAATATCTACCACACAGAGTCGTTTTTCAAAATTCTAGAGAGCACGCTAAGTCTTTCTCTATCTGGGTATTGCATACCTTTGGATTCTACCAAGAATTGCTAGAAAACGAAAGTGTCTACTGAACATACACAGAATTTTGTCATTGTTCCCTAAATGATATATTATGCGGACTATTTTGAAAGCATCAACATTAGCTATGGTAAGCAATCCGAAGCACATTTAGATTATATGGGAATGTGTGTATAGGTATATGCAAATACTGCACCATTCTGTGTAAGTGATAAGCAGCCACAGATCCTTGTGATGCCAGGACCAATTTCTTATGGATAATGAGGAATTACTGCAATAACACAGAAAGTCAGAACAACGACTTGACCCATTATTTGTTGGTTTCAAATATTTGTGGAAAACACTGTTAAATTTGCAATTTCCAAAAGGAATTATTTACCTTTTAAACTCAGTTAATTTACTTTTTTTAATATCTGTTATATTTAAAGACAGGGAATAAAATGTTTCTCAGTTACAAAATAATTGATTTGTATTGGAAATGGAGAACTGAGTTTAGTTGAGAAGTACAGAAATGTGAAATTATTGATTAGAAAGTGGGAATTAAACTTCACTTAATTTACTAGCTATAAGTTAGCACATTGAAATCAAAAGAATCTGAACAAAGTTTGCACTTTAATTTGAGAAAAATAGATCAAAAGAATTATTACCTTATTTCAACCATTTGTTTTATTAGTCAGAAAAAGCAATAATCAGAGACAGCAAACTAATTAACAAAACATTTTTCTAAAGTCACAAGAAGGCAAATATTTTAGAATGTCGTTGTGATCAAGTGTAACAAAAGTTTATCAAAACTGTTATTCTCACTTATTGTTGATGTCACTTTTAATTGGCACTTTCCTTTGGAAAATGACTTGAGCCATAAAAATAAATATTGTACTTGATAATTCTTTTTCTGGGAATTATTCCAAAGAAAACAACTTAAATGAAGTAAAAATCTACACGAACAAAAACAATCATTGTATTATTTTGTTAAAGAGTAAAACTCTAGGAGTTAAATTGCACATTCAGAAAACAAGTAAATGATGAAACAATTATGAATTACAATACTATGTTCCCATTAAAAGTTACAGAGATGGGCCTGGTACAATTACCTAGTGGTTTAACACTCGCCTTGCATGCTCTTGATTTCATATGGGCATTGTTCCTGTCCTACAGATGCTCCACTTCCCTTTAAGCTCTCTGCTTGTGGCCTCAGAAGGCCCTGGGGTCTGGCACCCATGTGGGATGTTCAAAGAAAGTTCCTGGCCCCGGTTTCAAATTGGCTCTGCTCTGGCTGTTGCGGCCACTTGGAGAGTTAAATCTGTGGATGGAAGATTTTTTTCTCTGTCTTTCCTCTCTATAAATATGAGTTTTCAATAAAAACAAAATAAACATATTTGTTTGGGCACAGTGTGGTGGCCTAGCATCTAAAGTCCTCGCCTTGAACCAGCCCAGATATTATATGGGTGCTGGTTCTAATCCCAGCAGCACCACTTCCCATCCAGCTCCCTGCATGTGGCCTGGGAAAGCAGTTGAGGACGGACCAAATCCTCGGAACCCTGCAACTGTGGGATCCCTGGCTAGTGTAAGGTGAGGACTTTAACCACTACGCTATCGTGCTGGTGCCTAAAAAATAAATCTTTAAAAAAGTAAAATAAATATATATTTTAAAAATGTAACAGATACATAATATAGAGTGCTTATGGGAAAGTTGCGAATTTTTCAAATTCAAGATAGTAGTCCCAGGACACAGAGCTATTTCGTTTCATTCCTAAAGCGCCATTAAAGTAATGGCAAGGAAGTGAGAAGAAGTATATTCTTGCAAGATCTCAGGAGCGAGCAGGAAGCCCGATATCTAGAACATGAGAAACGTTTATCATCATTATTGAGTGAATCAGAGTCAACTATAGCCTGAATGTTCACAGCAAATGGTATTAGTTGAGGATGCAAGTCACTCCCTTCTGACGTATCCTTAGAGTACCCTAATGGTGCATGAAAGTATGTGAAATCAAAGTGGGAAATGAGGCAGGGATCAGGATCATCAAACTCCAAAACCATGTAATTGCGAACATCATTGCATGCACAGAAAAACGCACATCTTGTATAGGAGAATTGTGGCACATTATTCAAGATTATTTCTGGTATATCCTCCCTGAACACAACAGGAACAGGACTGCCACTTCGCAGCCCTGAGTTACACCTGCCTCATGCTATCAAGACTCAAGCTAAGAGAGCCCATATTTCCTACCTACCATGTGTGCACTGAAAGCAGATATTTCCCACTACCACAGCAACAGCAAAAAATATAAATATAAAATATTGAGGAATCAGAAGCAATTTTAAAGAATCCTGCATTTGTATCCTTAGGAAAATGAAAGATGCTTCTGTCTCTGCTCTGAAAAAAAAAAATCTTGAAAGTTTTAAAATTATAAAATAAACGGTTCATTTTTGGGCTCATAGATAAATATTCTAAGAGTTGTTGAATTATTTGGTTGTAATTATTAGGCTTTTAAAAATCAGTTTTAGATGTTTTCCTGTACAGATATTAAAAAAAAAATAACGAAGTAGTCAAGTGAAGTGTTTTCTTCCCCTGGCTTCTTTCAAGATATCCGAAACTTAAACACAATACTCAAAAGTATGGATTTTTTTGTGTTCATGCTACAAGGTAATCCGTGGTTTGGTGTCTATCATTAATTTGGGGAAGCCTAATTATCATTGATATTTCTTTTGGAATTCATTTGCATACAAGCCCATTGCAGATTTCATAACCATCACAAAATTCTTGATTATTCTATGTCTTATGTTATATTTCATTTTAATTTTGAGCATTTCAACTAGCATTCTTCAGACTCATTAATTCTTTGCTCAGCAGTTTTAAATCTATTAGTAAGCCTATCAACACATGGATCATTTTTATACAATGTTTTTGATCTTTAGCATCTGTAAAATTTCTTCCTTAGATGGTTCATCTGTGTTTACTTTATTCACTTGTACATTTATTCACTGCTTCGTTTAGATTCCCTTAGCATGTTCACAATGGTTGTGATTTCCTTTTTGATGATTTCATCGCTTCTGCCTTTTAAGTTGGATTCCGATGCTTCCTCTACTTCTTTCTTTATTTTTTTGTGGTCTTTACATTTTATTTATTTATTTTTAAAGATTCACTTAATTTATCTGAAAAAGTTGTAGAGATGACTAGAGAAACAAGAAACAGAGAGAGACTGAGTCTCAGCCAATCCCAAGTCAGGAGCTTTAGAGTCAAGAGCTTTTTCTGGGCCTCCAAAGTGGGTGCAGGGGCCCAGGCACTTGGAGCATCTATTGCTTTCATGGCAGGGAGCTGGATCAGAAGTGGAGATGCCAAAACTCAGTGGCACCCATCAGGGTTGCTGGCAGTGCAGGTGGAAGTGTAACCCATCAGGCCGCACTGTTAGCTGCCCTTCTAAGATTCTGATGTAAGTTGAACATAGTGGATCTTGTGTAAGGAACTAAATTAAATGGACCTAAAGTGTGATATTTTTGTTGATCTGAACGGGAGTTGGACTGTCTTTCCTGTTCGCTCTCAATCTGTCAAAGAATGACATCTGTGTTCATTGCTTTTGTCTTCCTTGTCACTTCTGAGTTGTCCTGGAAACTTCTTGAATAATATCTGAATTTCACAATTCTTTCAGTTATAGCCATGGTTGCTATACAAGAACCTTATTTATCTGACAGTCATGAGGTTAGAGAGGGAAAGTGAGTACTCTGTAATCCTATAATTGGTCCTAACAAATGTGAGCTATGCCATTCCATCTGTCTTGTTAGACAGGAAGACTGGCATGGGTTGGAATGCAATCCTCTCCCCCCTCAGGTGGGCTTGGTTCTGAGAGATCATCAGTAGGTCTGGCTCTAGTTAAGCATTTTCTCCTGAGGCAGCATTGTCGTGGGGAACAAAGTGGTGGCACATTTCACTGTAGCTACTTTCTCCCCTCCCTTCTGAAATGAAAGGTTGTTATTTGTGCGGGTTTTCCTAGATCTTCAATATGATAACTGTAAAACTTTCTGGAAGGAAAATTCAGGAAAGTTCAGATGTGTCTACATTAAGCTTCCAACAACTCATCAATTACAGTTGAGGTTTCGTATCCCAGTACATGTTCCTTCAGAAGCATGTGGTCTGGGGACTCATCCCATTAAGCTGTAATTCATTGTATCCACCCATTTGTTTCTTCATTTTTTATCTATAATCTTGCCTGTGAACTCAATTCTCCAGCAAATCTAAAAAGGATGTTTGAATTTCACTTTGTTCAGCTTTTTATTGTTACTATCGTATGATGAAAGAAACAATTTCTAAACTCCTTATATGCTTATCTGGACACATTTTGAATTTTAACACACTGTATTTCAAAAGGAGAAAATGTAAAAACTACTGAAAGAATTGGACAAAGACATCTTTGAGATCTTGGGTAAAGATACAGAAAAGATGTGAATATACAGTAAACAAATAAATGACTCAACCACAATCTAATTCAAAAGAAAAAAATATAGTTAATAGAAGAGCTTAAATTTTTTTTATAATTGAAAAGAAGAAATGCATTCCTGTATTGTATTAAATTAATAATAAAAAAGTCTTGATATACAAATACAACTCCTTAAATGTTTAGCAAAACAAGGACAAAGGACATATCTTAGAAGTTTCCAGAGAGACAGGGAGCAAAATTAAAATGGGCTAGGGAGCTAAGGAGTTTGGTTGCAGAAATTGGAAGCCACATTCTCCCACGTCTTATGTAACCCTATCCACCTGTTAGCCAAATAACCCCTTTCCCAGGAAGTGCTTTCTCTCACTTGTGGTCTGGGAGTAGCATGGGTAACCACTCCCCTTACTTAACTCATAAGAAACCTAGTAAGAGCAAAGCCAGCTTTTTCTTCCTGTGAATTCACAGGGCATTTCCTTTCTGGTCTACTCTATCCTTTAACATGGCCCATGTTTGTGAATTCCTCACCTTTTAAATCTTATTGCTTAGTAAGTTGTATTGGTGTCTAAATTTAAAATGTATTTTGGGCAAGATTTTAGGATTGTAAATATTAGGTCCAAACCTAGCCCACGATCCTTAATTGCATTACTGGTACAAGAACACTCTTTGACATGCATTTTCTGGATTCTCTTTTCATGAATAGTGAAGGAGTATGGGAAGCAAACAGAATCTATGACCGACTTCTGAGGGTACATCATTGAACCTATGGTTTGATAATCTCAACTGAAATCAGAATAAGAAACAATATACTTCAGTGGGATGATACATGGGCTTGCTTGCAGCAGCAATAATAGGAGACAAATCAATTGCTAGTACAGGGAGAAAACAGGGGAATATATAAAAGATGTCAACATAAACAAAAATTCAAATCTCTTTTTTTAAAGTAGAAACCAAAAGATCAGAAAGAGGAAGAGAGAGATGGAGAGAGAGAGAGAAAGAGAGAGAGAGATGGGCAGAGTGTGTGTGTGTGTGTGAGAGAGAGAGAGAATATGAAGTATGAGATCTGGTACCAAAAATTCAAGGTGTGAAAGAATCTGGGCTAGGAAGCTGGAATTTAACAACAAGCCAAGTAAAATGCAGCATGGTCGTTGAGTTATTATGAAACTAGAACACTTTCTATTCCTAGAGCATTCAATATTTCTTTTAAAAAATCACAGAGTTGAGTAAATAAAACAGCCTGGTAGCTAAATGGCCAAGGTATGTATGGGAGTGGATATATGTGTACTTGACGGTATGTGTGTGCGTGTTTGAGGGAAGTCAGGGATTTAGTAAGAAGAGCAGGTGGAATGGGTTCAGTCGGGGATAGTATGCCTTACTGTGTGTTCTGAATGTAGAGCAGCCCATGAAGATGCGAGGCTTCTGTGGTCTTCACAACTGGCATTACCAAGAAGGGTCACCAAGGGAACCCCCCCAATATCTGGATTATATCAACTGACATGCTTTAGTGTTGCACCAAAAGGCAGGTAAACATCTTTTAGACCAGTATGTGATTTTTTTTTTTTAAAGATGGTGGATTATAAGATCTGTTCTTATTTTCCTTTATTTATGCTCTGTGCTTATCTAAATTCATAATAAAAAAATAACTTTCCAATTTAATGTTGAACACATTCTTCTAGACTTTAAATTAATAGATGGTGAATCCTCACGTTTATACCAGTATGCAAACTATGTCCTATGGTTGCCAAGGAGCATCTAGAAAATATGAAAATAATTTATTATCATGATTTGATAAAAGCACCTCTGAAAGTTTATAGCATACGAACTTTGGTCATTTCTTGTGTTTTATGTTTCTTCATGATACAATATAGGGGTTGGCTGCAAGTGGCTGCATCCCCCCAGACAAATTTCAATTTTAATGTGCTAATTAAACAGCTATTTCTTCCATTGTCATCACCAGAACCTTATTAAGCCCATAGCTGTGGAAATCACATAATCTTTTTTTTTTTTAATTCTGGCATTGACAATACATTATTATTAAAGGTTCATATAAATATATTTATATATGTACATATAAAGCACTATTTCAGCAATATTTTATATTTTAATATATGTGTACACATATGCATACTATTTTTAAAGATTCATTTATTTATTTTAAGGACAGAAGGACACACACAGTCACATGAGACAGATATTTTCTTTCCACTTATTTACTTCCCGAACAGCCATATCTAGCCAAATTAGGCCACACTGAAGAAAATAACCAGGGACCCATTCAGGGTTTCATGAATGGCAAGGACCAAATACTTAGGCCAGCATTCATGGCCTTCCTACCTATATGAACAGGAAGCTGAAGTGGAGTAGATGGGACTCATACTGACCCTCTGACGTGAGACACCACTATAGGCAATGTTGGCTTAATATTTTATTCCACACACCAGCCCAAGATATAGGATCAAACTTCTTGATACAAAGCAAGATAAAGAAACATCAGCAACCAAACATATTGTACCTTTCTCCACAAATTTTATATTTTTTGAGAGGTGGTTAGTGGTACATGAAGCCTGTGACTATAAAGTGGATTGAAATTAAGTCTTTGTAAACCCTAAAGAAAAAAGAGAAAGGAAGGAAGATGATTGAGGAAAGGGTCAAATAAAAATGATGGTTATCTTATTAGAACTGCACCTATGAAATAATAAAACATCTGTTCTCTTTATGTTTAAAAAATTTTAAATATTACATTAGCTTAAACAGAAAATTATGTATATAGAATGCTCTTAGATGAAAAACTCTAGGTAGGACCTGCCACAATAGCCTGGTGTCTAAAGGCCTTGCCTTTCACCCACGAGGATTCCATATGAGAGCTGGTTCTAATGTTGGCAGCCCTGTTCACATTCGGCTTCCTTATCATGGTCTAGGAAAACAGTAGAGGATGCCAAAGCCTGGGGCCCCTGCAGCTGTGGGAAAGCCTCAGAAGCTCCTGTCTCCTGGCTTTGGACTGACTCAGCTCTGGTTATCGTGGCCATTGGGGATTGAATCAGCAGATGGAAGATCTTTCTGTCTGTCTCTCCTTTTCTCCGTATATCTACCATTCAAATAAAAATAAATAAATCTTTTTAAAAATAAAAAAGAAAATTCTAGGTAGCTATGTGAAGTTACTATTATTATGATTAAACTTACCACCTTAATATTCGTTATATGTTAACATAATGAATGTATCTGTACTGATCACAGGTAGGCATATAGGAATTAAATATATTTGTGCTATCATTCAGTGAATTGTAGAGATGCTCCTCCTAGAATTCATGAATGAGGTGTTTATAAGAAGATCATTTCTACCTCAAATGTTGAAGCACTAGTGGGTTACCAGGAATTTCTTTGCAAATTACAGAACAAAAATCAAATCAAATGCCCTGTTGCTTGCCTAGCCATTCAGTCTTTTTCTCTAGCAAAAGAAAACGTTGGATTCAACAGTCAGGAAATTAAGCTGGTGATTCTGATTCAGCAAATTCCTGAAAGTAGCTAAAAAGTTCTGACTGACATAATAAAGAGGAACAATGCCTGCTAAATAATTGGATTGAAAGGATGTCAATTTCTATTTTGCTCAGAATCAAAGACCTCTTTTTGTCTTTAGACTCAAAATTTTCACAATAATTTGAAACCTGTATAGATGGTTTACCTAATAATAAGAATAAAATGTAGAATTATGCTTAGTTTGACTTTATTTTTAATAAATTGTAGATCTAAACTAGTAAGTATATTCCAATATTCAGAACATGTTCTTTTCGTGAACAACTCCCTTGATTTATCAATTATCCTGCTGCATTTTCTTTTGAAATAATAGAATATCAAGGGCTGGTGATCTCCACAGAAAGAAATTTGCTTTTTGCAATTTTAGAGGATGAAAAGGTCCTATTCCAAGTGCGGCATCCACTTAGGACCTTCGTGGGGCTCACCTACATGGTGCAAGGCATAATACTGTGAGACAGAATAACTGCGCTGGCAAATCTCAGTTTTAAAAAAAATATATGTGTCTACTTATTTAAATATTTGTTTATTTAAAATCAGACTTACACACATGTTGAGAGAGGAAGAGACACACAGAGAGATCCTCTAACTGCTGATTCACTTCCCAGATGGCAGCAATGCCTAGGGCTGGGTCAGGCTCAAGTCAGGAGTCAGAAGTTTTTTCTAGGACTCAAATGCTGGAAGAAGAGCCAAATATCTTCTCCCACTGCTTTCTTCCAGGTTGCGAATAGAGTTGTAGGTGGGAAGAGGAGCATCTAAGGCATGATCTGGTGCCCATGTGGGATGCTGGCATCACAAGCAGTGATTTTACCCACTGTGCCACAATGTCGATTCCTCTCTATCCTTTCTTTACAGAGCCACTAATCCAACATGAGATCACCACTTGCACGACCTCATTTGATGCCAAATATCTCTCAAAAGGCAACACGATTTCAGCAAGGCAGATATAGAAAGCACAGGACAGAGTTCTGAACATAGGCTAAATGCATTGGGGCTAGGTGGAATCTCAATGTGGTTTTTATTTGTATCTTCCAGACGGCTGGGGAGCCTGACCATCTTTTCATATCTTTGCTAGTCATTTGAATCTGTATCAGCTCTTTTGAAAAATGTCTGTTCATTTCTTTTACTCACTTCTTCACGGTGTTTTGTTGTTGTTGTTTTGGTTTGGTTTTACTGAGTTTCTGATGCTCTTAGTGAATCCTGTATATTAGCCCTCTATCACTTGTGTAGTGTGAAAAATTTTTTTCCCATTCTGTTGGTTGCTTACTCACTTTGTCAATTGTTTCCTTTGCTGTACAGAAGCTTTTTAGTTTGCTATAGTCCCCTTTGTTTATTTTGTCTTTGACTGCCTATGCTTTTGGTGTGTTTTAAAATAAGTCTTTCCCTCTTCCTGTATCTTGGAGAGTGATTCCTATGTTTTCCTTTAATATTTTGATGGTTTCTGGGTGTAGACCTAAGTCCTTGCTCGATTTAGAGCTGATTTTTGTATACAGTGACAGGTGTGGGTCTTGCTTCTTAATTCTGCAAGCTGCTATCCAATTGTCCTAACAGAATTTGTTGAAGAGACCAGGCTTTTCCCCTGGGTTGTTTTCAGTTTTCTTGTCAACAATTAGTTGGCTATACATGTGTGGGTTCCCTTCTGGAGTTTCTATTCTGTCCCATTGGTCTTCTTTGTTTCTGTGCCAGTACCAGACTGTTTTGATAACCACTGCTCTGTTGTATGTCTTGAGGTCTGGAATTATGATTCCTGCACCTTGATTTTATTCCTCAGGATAGCTTTGGTTATTCACGGTGTCTTGTTGTTCCAGATGAACTTTTGTATCTTCTTTTGTATTTCTGAGATAAATGTTGTTAGAATTCAGATTGGGATTGCACTGAATCTGTATATTACCTTTGGTAATATGGACATTTTGATGATGTCGATCCTGCTAATCCTGGAACAAGGTAAATTTCTCCATTTTTCAATGTTTTCTTCTGTTTCTTTTTTTGTTTGTTTGTTTCTTTTATAGTTTTCTTCATAAAGGTCGTCCACAGAAAAAATGGACTCCCAATGAAACGGTTACAAATATCTAGACAATGAGATTCTGGACTGTCTGACATTGTCTGCACCAACAATGTTGCGGCACACTTAAGTAACAGACTGATGGATTTATGATTGCTCATAAAGAACTATACTATTTTCTTAAAGGTTTATTTTATTTTATTATTAGAAAGTCAGATGTACAGAGAGGAAATTCGTCAATCCCCAAGTGATTGCAATGGCTGGAGCTGAGCCAATCCGAAGTAGGAGCCAGGCATCTCCTCCAGGTCTCCCACAGGCATGCTGGGTCCGAAAGTTTTAGGCCTGGACCACATTTCCAGGCCACAAACAGAGAGCTGGATAGGAAGTGGGGCTGCTGGGACACAAACTGGCATCAATATGGTATTCAGGCGCTTGCAGGGCAAGGACTTTAGCTGCTGGGCTACCATGCAATTTATTGGATATACTTTTTTTTAATAATATGGAGAAAATCAGTCGGGGGTTTGGAAATTTGGGGGGTGGGGAAATCCCAGGCACTATGCAATTGTACCATAAAATCTGAAATTAAAAAAAAAATCAACTGAAAAAAAAAGTGGCAGCACAGGACACAGGGCTGCAGAGCTTGGGATGCTACTTCAGCATCACCACTTGTGTGGGTGTAGGTGACCCTGAGCTGATCGTTTTAGTTCTTTTAAATAGCATTTCCAAAGTCTGTTCATTGTGAAACACAATTAAAATGATACATTCACATTTCCTGGAAAAAAAGTGGTCATAAATAAGTATTAAGCTCCCTCATCCTGATCACCTAATATATTTTGTACAAACAATGTGAAGAAACAGAAATTCATGGAAAAAGTACATAACATCTAAGTAAACTATTATCAAGAATTTCCTTTTTGGTATTTTGTAAGCATCATGTACCCTAACCCTAACCTTAACCCTAACCTTAACCCTAACCTTAACCCTAACCCACAGAACAGATTGCAATCTCGTGCACATAGTGCATGTATATAAAAAACAGGATTTTGTGTGAAAGATAATACTACTAACTGTTTCTGTACATATTTTGATAACATTAATGGAAAGAGTTAACTATTACATTTTAGTGTTTTTATCTACTTATTTTTCTGATTTATCAATTAGTGTGAATGATTTTTCTTGATATCAAAATAAGAAAAACAGTCATGGAAAAAGAAATTTGAAAGGAATGGAATAAACACAGTAATACCAAGTTTTTATCCATTGAGGCACTTACAGAGGTAAAGAAAGAGATTATTTTAAAGATGGTGTCACGTTAGTTTCCAGGTTATCTCTCTTTGTTTTTTTAAACTTATTTATTTTTATTGGAAAGGCAGATATACAGAGAAGAGGAAAGACAGAGAGGAAGATCTTCTGTCCATTGACTCACCCCCCAAATTGGCTGGAACTGAGCCAATCTGAAGCCAGGAGCTTTTTCCGGGTCTCCCACGTGGGTGCAGGGACCCAAAGCTTTAGGCTGTCCTCGGCTGCTTCCCCAGGTCACAGGCAGGGAGCTGAATGGGAAATGGAGCTGCCGGGATTAGAACCGGTGCCCATGTGGGATCCCAGTGCATTAAAGATGAGGACATTCACCATTACGCTATAGAGCCGGCCCCCAGGTTCTGTTTTAATTCATGTGAACTGGCCTCATTTTCGGTGGTGACTGCTGTGCCAATTTTTCAATTTTATTTTTTGTCCACCCACATTTCTTTTGCACTATGCTCTCTGTCCCTTTCTGCTTTGCTAAAACTTAATTTTGTCATGGTTAATTGCTGTGCATCAAACAGTATCAAGTGTTTCCAGCAGTTTCCTCACTTGCTGACAGAAAGAACTCTTGTATCAAATGGTCCTATGTTGAAAAAATATCAGGTGAACACACAGAGAATCTTAAAGTGATTTCATTGTATCATTAGCCTTGCATTTAAATCATTTCAGAATATAATCACTAAATACAAATGTTTCTAAGAACCATATTTAATCTGATAAGTCATTTTAGCTGAAGACCTATTTTTGGTGTGGGAGACACTCTTGGAACCCCAGATCCCTGAAATTTTCTTGGAAAATCTTACCACACTTAAGAACATTTTGATGTGTTCATATTAGCATTGATGTTAATAACAACTTCTGATACTACAGGTGATGCCTAGATCATGGCATGGGATATAATAGCAAGGAATTATATCTCATTACATAAAACTCTTCAATCAGAAAAATGTGAAGAAATAAATATCAGTTGGATAAATTTGGAAATAAACCTAAACTATTTGGCCATAATAAGAAATAACAAGTTAGATAGTTACATTTTAATGTAACAAAATTCCTGAAAACATATTTTGTTATTTCTCACGTTTTTAGCTGATCATTATCCTGTCTTTTTCTAAACTCTTTATACATATTGCACACTTTAGAAGCAGCTAAATATTTTTAATGTGTAATTGTTCATTTGAGCATTTACATAAATGTTGAGTGGGCAGTAGATGGGAAGTGAGCAGTCAGGACATGAACCAGTGCCCACCTGGTGCTTAGAGGTGGAGGGTTAGACAGTAAAGCCATTGTGCTGAGCTCAGGAATACTAATTTTTTTCTATTGTCTTTGGAGAAATCAGTTTGCTAATTCCAATCAAAAGGAGGTTGCAGTTACATTTTCTTGGTTGATAGATTTCCCCAACTATTTGACTTTACTCTTGCATGGCCTAAGCAGACTCATATGTATACTCACACATGTATAAAAACACATGCTCAGCCCAGACAGGTTTTCTTAGGAGTCCCCTATGACAAGACTTCCAGACTCAGACTCTGGCCACAGGATATGTGGTCCAACCTTGGAGTGAATTAATAGGGATTGGGCCTTTTAGTTGCTCATGCCTGTTTGGTGGATGACATGTCCAAACGCACATGGGGGATATGATGGCCAGTCCAGTTAGGACATTGACTGTCTTGTCGGAGTGTGAAAGGCACAATACCTACTACAATAAAGAATTTGAAATGCTCATCGTATAATTGCATAGATACTTGGAACTTTTGTTCTTTGCTCAATTTTAATTCAGAGTGCTTTCTTATCGTTTTTGCACTGCTATTTTTACATACTTTTCCTGTTCCTTATCACTTCCTAGCAAGTAATAATAAAGAGATGGAGACTATAACAGTAATTCTATTTCTGGAACACATTTCCCACTTTATAATATACATAATATATATCCATCATTCATAAATGTTGAAAGGCATATTTAAATCTGTTATTAGCCCAAAGTGCTTAATATTTTGCCACCAATTCCAAATATAAGTGTGATGCTTTGTTCTAATTTAGTTGATTACACAGTGTATCTCAAATCATAACATTCTATGACTTCAGCACAATTTTACAAGGCTCTTTTAGGTACAAAACACATCCTAACATGAACTTGAAGAAAGATGTGATAGTTGATTGACAGAAAGTCGCAGCAAGAAAATTTCAGTTTAGGATAAGGAAGTTTCACATTACTGTATCAATGCTAGATTTCACACCAGCTGAAAAGCTAAATTCAGGGACTCTATTGCATACAAATATTGATATGAGTCATTTCCTTTCCATTAAAGCAACCAAAAATATAACTTCCTGTCTTAGTGTATAATCAGTATTAACCAGCAGAGCTCAAGCCTATATGTTTGAGTTCCTACAAAAGAAAGTCTAAATTTAATGAGTCTTTCCAGTGGAATTTTAAATAATTCCAAGAGTGAGAAGAGCTAACAGCAAACATCAAATATTAGTCAAAACAGTTTCATTTTCTGTAATGAGATTAGATCTCTGTTAACATTTGCAGAGACCACAAAAGGAAAAGTGCATCTTAACAAAATAAAATGACTTGTTGATCTCAATTTTATCTGTGGACCAGCTTTTGCTAACTATGAATTCTAGTGATGTGTTATCTGTTGAGTCCAGATGGACAAAAGTGAGTTAGATGTTTTAATTCATTAATACATGAGCATGTGTTTATTGAGTACTTATCATAAGCTTCAGAAACGGAGCAACACAAAAAAGACTGATGTGAATTCCATGTCCAAGGAGTTCAGTAATGAATTGAAAATAAATGCCGATGCTTCAAATACCTGAATAATGAAACATCATGAAATGAATGTGAAGTGAGTGTGTAACAAAGACTAAAATATCAGCAGTTCAGAGAAAAAGATTCAGTATTGAAAAAAAAATTTAAAAAACTAAATACCTGCAAATTTTTATCACAATGTTATTCAATTAATTTGCTGTAAATTTCACTGAGTACACGAGTCGAGGGTTTCAGGATGCCATGTTGCAAATGAGTTAAATGGCTTATAGAAAGCTGTGGGAAATATAATGATTCTTAATTTTTCAACTGAAGTGTGTAATATTTCCCCTCTTCCCCCCACACCCAACACACCATTGGAACAGATCTCAGTTAGCACAGAATTCTCCAAGAACACTCAAAAAATAGTTTTATTTTAACTATCACGT